TCTGTTGGGAATAGAAAAAGGCAAGTTCTTTAAGTGACTAAATTGACAACCTAGAATCTCAGGCCATTTTGGAATACTCAGGTGCATGAAGGCTAGAATTACTGTATCAGTTTACTTATGTTGAAATTTTTATCATCAGTACACTGTTAACCGTAAGAAATCCCATATTTAAAAAATTACAGAAATAGAGAAAGACAATTATCATATGATTTCACTCAGATGTGGAATTTAAGAAACAAAACATATGAACATATGGGAAGTGGGAAAAAGAGAGAGAGAAAGAGAGAGAGGGAAACAAATCAGAAGAGACTTTTAAAGATAAAGAACAAACTGAAGATTTATTGAACGGAGGTAGGTGGGGGATGGGCTAGATGAGTGATGGGTAGTAAAGAGGGCAATTGTTATGATGAGCACTGGGTGTTATATGTAAGTGATGAATTACTAAATTCTACTCCTGTAGAATTTAAATAAAATTTTGAAAAAAAAAAAATTCCCGGGGCACCTAGGTGGCTCAGACAGTTGAGCATCTGACTCTTGGTTTCGGCTCAGGTCTTGTGGAGCCTTCTTGAGGTTCTCTCTCTCTCCCTCTCTCTCCCTCTCTCTCTCTGCCCCTCCCCCATGCACATGCGCGTGTGCGCGCGCACGCACACACACACACACACACACTCTCATTCTCAAAATAAAAAAAAATTAAATCCCACCACAAAAAAAATATAGATAGATAGATAAATGAAATAGGTGAGGAATTTTATCTTCAGTCTTTAGTGTTCACCGACTTCTGGGCCAACACATCTCTGTCCTTTTTTCTTTTCCCTGAGTAGGATGTTGTTTTCCAGTATCTGCCTGTCCCTGCATCACCATGGAAAAGCATCGCATAGCCACAAGTCTTTCTCACTGTTTACAGCCTTAGCAATGGGTGTAATTGACCCAGAATTTACTTTATATGGAATTTGATGATAGGCTTTTACTTTTTAATTTAGGAACACAGGATGAACATGACAAAGTGGATAACTAGAAGATTTTCTTTTAGGTGAATGAAATATATTCTGTGTTCATTAGCTACAGTATGCCTGGCACTTAGCTTGGAGTTCAGGTGAGCCCAAAGAGAATGCTGGCCATTGTCCTTTTAGAATTACAGCCTAGATTGAAAAACCAAAGTAAAACACACACACACACACACACACACACACACACACACACACACACACGTGCACTAACAATCCACGACTCTAATAATGTGCTGAGTATTATGAAGATTCAGAGAGATGAAAGAGAGAACTCATTTTACATTCAGAAAAAGACAACAGAAAAAAAAGAGTAATGTTTTCATTTTCTATTGTTTAGTTTATCAGCCTGAGAGTAAACATGCTTCTTTTCCCATCACTTCAGTATTTTTCATGTAATTTCCCACTCTTTTCCAATGAAGTAAGACCCATAGACTGCCTTAAAATCTGCATTTTAATAAGCTTCATAAATTGAATGTTCTGATAAGAATAAAATATAAAACAGTGAGATATATTTTCCTCAACATTCTTTTGATAAATAAAGTTATTTATTTTTTTAAAGTTTATTTTTTGAGAGAGAGAGAGAGAGACAGAGATGGAGAGCCCACAAGTGGGGAGGGGCAGAGAGAGAGAGACACAGAATCTGAAACAGGCTCCAGGCTCTGAGCTGTCAGCACCGAGTCTGACTCAGAGCTCAAACTCATGAACTGTGAGATCATAACCTGAGCCGAAGTTAGTCGCTTAACTGACTGAGCCACCCAGGAGCCCTGGCAAGTAAAGTTTTTTAAAATATTGTGATAAATATGCCTTTCAGGCAAAACCATTTCCTTTTCTGACGTATTTCTTTTATTAGTTAATATATGTTATGTCCAGGCTAAGGCTTTCAAAATATTTTTGGTAATACAAATGTTTAATGAATCAGATAATACTTTATTAGGCACAATACACAAGACTCTAATAAGAAAACATTTTGTTCTAATTATCTTTACCATCTCTTGGCAGGAAGACAATAATTCTGAGCTCTTCATATTGCCAAATTTTCTTTTTTTAATGGGATATTATTGGTACCTGGCAAAAGATAGAACTAAAAGAAAAACAAATACCGGATAGGGGACAGAAATTAATGAGTTAGAGGATAGAAAAACTAGAAAACTTAATAAATGAAAATACTTTGTTTTGTAAAAGATCAGCAAAATAGCTCAAACTAACAAAAAAATATAGCTAACTTGATCAAGGGAAAAAAGGCAAAAGCACAGACACACAAAATAGTGATAAGATAGGCAATAATATTTGAAATAGAAGGGTTTTTTTTAATACTAAGATTCTATTTTGTAGAATTATGTGAATAAATTTGAAAACAGGCTGAATGGTTAATTGCCTAAAGAAATACATGTGGCTCCAGGCCCAGATGGTTTCACAGGTGAGTTCTACCAAATCTTCACTGTTTCATATAAGGAAGGCTCAATGTGCAGGTCCTTCCTGTCCTTTATAAGTGTCATTGATATAAAATGTCATTATTTAAGACATGTATTTCTTAGAAGAATGCAGAAAATGTCACACATTCCATTTGCTACAACATAGTAAATTAATTTTTCTGAAATGCTGTATTTTACTCACTTACATTTGCTATTTGCTACTATTATATCCTTTCTTTTTCCTGGAGGGAAGTGAGGCGGGGAGAGAGAGAGAAAGAAGTCTTTAATTTTATGTGTGAAGTGATTTTGGATTTAAATAGGGAAATCTGACCAAAGGTTTCACCATCAGAAACAACACCAAGACATCTAGGGTCCCTGTTATTTCCTATTCTCTGAGGCATACAGGCATGATGTTACCAATATGTAAACCACACTGTGAAGGCCTGCGGTATACTGCCGTGACAAATCTCAGTCCAAACTAGAAAGTAGCATTTGTTATAAGAGTAAATAAATCTGAGTCTAGATGGTAAGGGTGTAGTGCTGTGCTGCTAGGTTAAAGCAAAATTGTTATGCTATTTATAAAAATAGACAAATATATTCAGCTGACATAGTTTCCTACCATGTGCCGGGAGTTGCATTAATTTGCCTCAGTAAGAAAACCACATCTGAAACACAAACAGCAATTCACGTCATCATCTGATTAGGTTTATAATAACCCTTTGCCATTCCCCAAGACTTTTCAGTATTTCTAACTCCCCATCTGTGGAATTTAATGAGGATGTGATCAGACTATAGATACCAATGTTGCATTTCCCCCAGTGAAATTATTTCACTTTGAATTTGCTAGTTTGGGAGAACAAAAGAGACCAAAGGACTTATTTTATGGGTAAAGAATTCTTGCAGTTGCTTGAGATATGTATTCCAACTATACAATAAGGGACTTGGGAAATAACCACGAATAATACTGAAGATCCCCTTCACGTACCATGAAACAAACTTAGCTTAGGCACATTTTCATGCCAGGTAATGCCCGTTGGGTCTATCTGGCTGAACTGGGACCCTAGACCTCCAGAAAGTAATGTCATCTCCCAGCTACCAGTCCTTCCTTACTCGAGTTTCTTTAGGAAAAAGTAGATGGAGGTACACACCTGTGCGTTACCACAGTGTCTCTCTGTCATGAGTTTAGTTAATCTCCCCCATGGTATTGCTGCCTTGGCATCCCTTTTGTTTGGCCAAGCAACCTGAAGTGATCTTAAACCGACACAAGCACACCACCGCCACCCCCATGTGCTTGCACGCACATGCTCTAGATAATAGCCCACAGAGTCACCAGCAGGTGCAAGTTCCTGATCTGATGTTTCCAATAGCTCTTGTGATCAGTAGCCTCCCCTGCCTCCCAGGGCCTTCCCATGGTATGCCCCTTAGGTAAGACCTGACCATGGAGATTCCCAAAACCCTCCTCTTTCAGTCTGAATTGACCAATCTGGACTGAACCTGGGAACTCCAAAGTACTCCACCCATATACCTTAATAAAGGCATGTGGCCAGGTCCGGGCTCTCTGTCTGCACTCTGCCTTGACTTCCCCCATGTGATGGCCCCATGGTATGCTGGGGTACTTCCCCCAGTACCTATGAGTAATCAACATTGGTATTTCATTGTCTCTTGAGGTTTGTTGCTGAACCACCACAACCTACCATCTGTATCCTGTGCTCCACTTAAGTGTTAATTTGATGAATTCTTCACACCTCCTTAATGGTACATGACTACTTCTTTATCCAAAGCCTTCTGACTCTTTTTTTTTTTTTTAATTTTTTTTTTCAACGTTTATTTATTTTTGGGACAGAGAGAGACAGAGCATGAACGGGGGAGGGGCAGAGAGAGAGGGAGACACAGAATCGGAAACAGGCTCCAGGCTCTGAGCCATCAGCCCAGAGCCCGACGCGGGGCTCGAACTCACGGACCGTGAGATCGTGACCTGGCTGAAGTCAGACGCTTAACCGACTGTGCCACCCAGGCGCCCCAAAGCCTTCTGACTCTTAATATAACTCAGGCACGAGACCTAGGTAGTGGTTGGGACTTCCTACTGTTAAGACTCAAATCAGGCCTCTGTTTACCAGACCTAGAATTTGGGGTTTTTACAATTTAAGTAAAGCCTAAATTACTTTCTGAATATTTTATTTTGGTGGGCCTCTATAATTATGTAACCCTTCTAGAGAATTCCGAGTGTCAGTCATTCCCTGAGACACCATCTCTTCCAATTCTTCTCCATTTGCCACTATATAGGCACTGCCCTCCAGGGTCTTCCCATTTTTGCTAAAATCATAGAGTCCAATTTTGTCCATTTCTTTTTTTTTTTCAAGTTTATTTATGTATTTTGAGAGAGAGAGAGAGCATGTGTGCATGAGTGGGGAGGGGCAGAGAAGGCAGAGAGAGAGAATCGCAAGCAGGCTCCATGCTGGAAGTAGATGCAGATCTTGATTTCAAGAGCAGTGAGATCATGACCTGAGCCAAAATCAAGAGTCTGATGCTTAACAACTGAGTCACCCATTTTGTCCATTTCAATTTCCATCTTTTCCACTAGAATTCCTGACCTGGAATGAACATCCATCAAAATTGTTTTTAAAGATTCTCATCCCTCTCTCATCAATCTGTTCTTCATCTCAAGTGTGAAAGCCCTGGAATGAGGTAGAGTTGTTTTTTTGTTTTTGTTTTTGTTTTTGTTTTTGTTTTTGTTTTTGTTTTGAAAGCATAGGATTTTCAATCTAGAACTTTTGTGTCCCAAACTCTTTCAAGTCTGTCTTCCAAATTATGTCAAGATGTTTCTGTTCTCCTTTGCTACTTATGGTCTGTGTTCACTCTAAGTTGTCTTAATGAACCTGGAAAATGTTTACGTCTAAATAGAGCTCCCATGTTTGATATAGAAACTCTCAAAAGTTCTCTCATAAAAAATTTAGCCTAATCCAAAAATTTATTTTCATCATCCTTGGTTAAGCAAAATACTCATTTCCCCAGGCACTTTACATTTATGAATTCTTGTAATAATTTTTAGTCTTATTTTTCATTTTATCACCTAAGCAAAGTTGAGATTTTTTAAATCCTGCTTACTTAGAATAAGGCACTAGTAGAAGCTTTAGCTTTTCTTCTTCAGGGAGGCACATTTTATTCATCCAAGAGAGTAGCAGTGAAAATCATTTCAGAGGGGCACCTGGGTGGCTCAGTCCGTTAAGCCTAACTCTTGATTTTGGTTCAGGTCATGATCTCATGGTTCATGGGATCAAGCCTGTGATGGGCTGTCAAGCTCTGCGTTGACATGGAGGAGACTGTTTGGGATTTTCTTTCCCCTCTCTCTTTCTGTCCCTTTCTCTCAAAATAAATAAATAAACTTGAAAAAAAAATCATTTCAGATGCATTTAGTGGTCCAGGGCTTTCAAGGCCTTCAAAACCATCGCCTATTTCATTGTTTCAGTTATCCAAATCTCACTCTTATTTGATCAAAGCTCTAACTTTCACCTGAAAAACCCTGACAAGGTTATTGATCCATAGGCTTCTATAATTCAACAACTCAAAAAAAATCATTTTTTCATTTTCATTTTCAGTGATCTCTAACCTACTGCTGGAGTCAATAATAATTTTTTTTAGCACTGTCACAGGAGGCTAGTGGTCTCATCCTATGTTTTCACTGAGTATTGTACATTATGAGTTTGTTTTCTCTAGCTTTGTCCATCAGGACCAAATATTCCACCACACTGTCTGGCATTCTCTATCACATTTCAATTAGCTTTGCAGACGAACACCTGATCCCAGAGTGTCATTCTCAGTGGGCACGTGGTCCAGGTCACTAGTCCGAATAGACTGATCCATCCTGATTGCTGTGATTGGCCATGAGCGGCTCTCTCCTCATCCAGAAATCTTGCTACAGTTACTGCATCTCATCCAAAAACCAAATCCAAATCACATTTTCGTGAGAGTATTTTGCTAGAACCCAATTTTTCTATCTAATTTTGTTATATTTCTTTGCTTGTAATCAACAGAAAACAATCATGCTTCACTTAAGGAGGAGAAAAGAATGTGGTGGAAGAAAAGTATGTAGCTTACAAAATCAAAGGACAAATAGGAAAACTAAACCTTAAAGCAGACTAAACAGAATAGTTTCAGGTATTTTAATAGCAAAGACTCAGGAATCAGACAAACCTCTCCAATTTCCTTCTGCCTCTGGGTGTTTCTGTGTAATAACTGAACTCCAAGAGTAGAAAGTCTGATTTTCTGGCATGGGTCATGCACCCACCTTTGTGTTGGTGAGGAATAGACTGGGCTCCACAATTCCTCCCAAATTATACAGTTTAGGAAAGGAGTAATCCCCGCTCCACTACCCAAGAAGGGAGGCTGGGAAAGCTATACGTATGTACAGACTTAAAAAAATATCCCCTACACATGCAAGATGCTTAAGAATTCTTATTGATTTGTGTGATAATTCTGGGAAAGAAATCAGATTATTCAAATGATGCTAAGTATTCTCAGTACGACCACATACCTCAGCTGCCACAGTCATAGCCTTGTGTAAATTGTTTCCAGAGCATAGATTCTACACACTCTTGTTTCTGAAACTGGGCCTTCACTTATCCTGGATGAGCTCAAGGGATTTGTAAATAGAAACATTAGACAATGATGAAGGAGGCTGGTCATCAAGATTTCCTGGCTGTCTTAGTGCTCAACTATCCCTTCAAAGTCCCCCAAAGGTGCCAGTTCTGCTAAAGTTCTAATTAGGTGATCTCTTTTTTGTGTGTAGCTAGATATAAATGACAAATTACAAGATAACAGTTAAAGATTATAGCTAATGTTTTGCATTCGCAAACACCAACTCTTTGTGTGTTTGTTAACACAAGAACTAGATTTTCCTGCCGTGGTAACTTTGTTTTAGGGCTTTTCTTCTTACCGGGAGAAAAGATGTCATTTGGCCACTGAAGCACCATCATGCTGTTCAGTTTTGAAAACGTTTCTCTCATGCAAGGCCACAGCTTGCCCCTGTGACATGTTGCTGCAAATTAGAAAAACACCCCCCTTCTGGGATGGTGTTAGAAAAGCCACTGTCTGAACGATGACCACCAGTCAGGTCTATAACTTGGCAAGCAGAGCAAGGACAGAGCTTCAGCTGCTCCTGGCCTGATGGCCTGGAGCTTTGTGTAAATGCATAATCTGATTGGCCGTTGGTGGTAGTTCTACTCTTGGGGGGATTTAGAACAGATGGAACAACTGGAAACCTTTCTTTTGTGGTCATCTAGCTGGACACATCAGGAAAAAAGACCCACAGAAAATCCTGAACTGGAGCCATCCATTGTTTCTATATCCATTAGATTACTAAACCAAATTGCACCATCTTCCTGGTTGAAAGCTTTTTGCGTTGTGGTACCCAACTCTTGAGATGTTTCTGTCTTGGTGTTTCATGTGATGCATCATATTTAAGATGCTGGGCCCCTGCTGATTGTAGTCAAAACTACACTGGGATGAACACTGGGATGCCTATCCTTTTTCTGAAAGGTGGCTTCCTTGCCCAATCAGGGTTCCTGTACTTTTATCATTATTCCATGCTCTTGACTCTTCTTTCTGTTGTCCACAATATGTCTTGTCCCCTTAACTCACATTAGTGTAGGCTCTTATGTCTTGGTTATTATCCTAGCTGTGTCGTTTTCCCTCCATCTCATCAGTACCTTCATAGACATCATTAAGTCATGGGCCTTCCAACTTAGGTGGGCCCTCAGAACCGTCTCGTATGTATACTTAATCCACAATCTGGTTTGGTCAGACAGTTTCTCCCTGACTTTTATCCTTCCTTTCCCAATTTGGGCCCATGCTCACCCTTTTCAACCCCACTTTTACCAGCACTATGTATTTATTTTGATCCTCTGTTACAACTATCTAGCTGAGATCCTTAATGTAGGTCAGCTCAGCCATTCCCTCACTGGTTCTAGTAATACTTCGTATCAGTGGTTCTCAAATGTCATCTGGGCATCCCTAAAGCTCTCTCAAACTATTTCAGGGGGTCAGTGAGGTAAAAGTCAATTTTATATTAATATTTTCATGTCATTTGCTTTTTTAATTCTCATTTACTCTTGGTACTGCACCACTAAATTTTCCAGAATGAATATAGAAGCAGATATGAGAATCAACCTATTTTGTGTTTGACCATATATTATAGAGAGTTGCAAAAAAATAAAAACAATGCTACTTTTCTCACTAAGATTTTTGCTTTCCACACACAGTTTTTTTCATACAAATGTTATATGGGTTAATGTGTAATGGGTTTATTTTTTAATAAATACATTTTCTTTTTTTATTTAAAAATTTTTAATGTTTCTTTACTTTTGAGAGAGAGAGAGAGAGAGAGAGAGAGAGAGAGAGGACAAGCAGGGGAGGGACAGAGAGAGAGACAGAGAGACAGAGAGACAGAGAATCCGAAGCTCCCAGTTCTAAGCTGTTAGTACAGAGCCTGATGCGGGGCTGGAACTCACAAACCGGAGATCATGACCTGAGCCAAAATCGGAGACACACCCGACTGAGCCAACCAGGTGCCCCAAATAAATAAATAAATTGTAAAGTTTTCAAAGGCTCTGTGGCAAAATTTTGTAGATATAATGCACAAATGGAAAAGCTCTGCAGGGTTCAATAGCTGTTAAGACTGAAAGCAAAATGTTTTAAAATCACTGTTTTGAAACATGAGCTCACTTGTGAACATTTGGGGAAAGTGCTATGCCAGGGTGCTCTTAAGTCCAGATATCATGCTCCATAGCAATTGGATAGTGAGTGTGGGTTTCAGGAAATGGATGATGAGTGATGTGTTGGAGCTTTGAGTTTTTAATGTGTAAATGACCATTTAAGCAGTAAGTATGGTTGAAATGTCCCAGGGAATATACACAATAAGAGGACAATTAGGACCAATTCCCAAGAAAGAGCAACCTGAAAAGATAGACACAAATAGAAGAGTTTGCAAAAAGGCCCAAATGAAATGTGTAAACACAGGAAGGAATTGAGGGCAGTGAAGTGTCACAGAAAGGAAGGGTCAAGTGTTTCCATAAGGACAGAGCAGTCAGCAGGACATCTGGCAAATCCTGCCACAGGACCAAGTAAGAAGAGGAGTATGGTGACTTTGGTGAGAGAAGTTTCAGTGACCTTGTCGGGGAACACGTTGGCAGAATTCACACATAAATGATTTTAGATGAAGCAGAAGATGGAAAATTTGCCAGAGCAACTTTCAAAACAATTTACTTAAAAGAGAAAGAGAGGGGCACCTGGGTGGCTCATTCCGTTGACCATCCGACTTTGGCTCTGGTCATGATTTCCCTGCTGTCAGTGTGGAGCCTACTTCAGATCCTCTGTCCCCCTCTCGCTGCCCTTCCCCTGTTTGTGTTCTCTCTCTCTCTCTCTCTCTCTCTCTCTCTCTCTCTCTCTCTCTCTCAAAAAAAAATAATAAATAAATAAATAAAAAACATCTTAAAAAAGGGAAGGAGGGAAGTGATAGGATAACTGGGGAGGAAGGAACATAAGATGGGTCAGGATTTTGTTACAGGGAATATTAATCTACCCAACAAAGTGGCTTATTGGTCTATATAGTTATTTCCCTATGTCTGTCTTCCTTGTGTAAATGTTAGTACCTTGTGCCAACTGGTCCATTTAACACCCGTCTCTATATTTTT